ATGAGTATAAGAGAAGTAATGTAACCTTATTCCTATTTTCGTGAATAGAGCCGATTCAGCTTCTTCTTGAGACGAATGAGTTCCAGATCTGATGACTTTTGCCACATGATGCGGCGTATTGGTCAATGTGGCAATATTATACGCTCACTAACATGGTTCGGGTCCGGCTGTGAGAGCTGATGAGACCTAGATGAGGCAGAAATTGTAATCTGTTCGGACCTGGGTGAGAAAACTCTCTGTGAAGCAAGACTATGTGAAATTCAGTGAAAAATGATGCTTTCTCCAGTTACTGTTGAAAAATTCAAATACCAATCCCTCATCATCTTAAACTAAAAAGGATGGATACAGATCCTATATCAAATCTACCTGTGGACTGAAAAATTTATTTGCGAATTTCTTGGGATAATAGTGTTGTGGGGACTTTCACTTCGTATGAAAGTTCATCAATATATTGGTAATTACATCCCAATATAAGTTGGCTGATTCTCCATTTTCTGAAGACGTTAGGCCATTAAGGTTTAATAAGCTAGAGGAAGACAAAATTGGGATTTCGTAATCTAGTGCATGTGGTAAGGTTAATAAGCTAAATAGAACTTTTGAATAAAGTTAAATGTCGTCAGCCATCACTAGGCTGACAAGAAATGTTCTGACCTCGTTTTCGCAACTTGGTCGAGCTGTCAGGGAACCTAGTTGAATGCATCTCATCAGAAGTCATATGCTGTTGTAATCATAATTCCAAGCGTTGGAAACTGGACTTGGTACATTCCCAGACGTTTCGCTAGCATCATCAGCGAGTCTTGTCATTCTCAGCACCAAGCTAAAACTTTTGTCTCTGCTAATCACTTATCAAATCGTGTGTAGAAATTTATTCTTTATTAAATGGATGCTACTATCGATTATGTTTAAATGATGACCATTTTCTAAGATTAAATGTTTCAGTCGTCCTAGCTTTTAAGCAAAATGATCTCTATCAACATGCCTGATCTTCGTAGTAAGCAGTAACTTCGAAATTCTAACTTTAGTTTCAGATCTATGGCTAAAAAGAAATTGTGAACAGAACCAGCATATGATGATATCCTATAATTGTCTCTAGTTAGTTTACCATCTTTTCTTGCAGCCAGAACATGCAAAAGCTCTTAGTCTTCTATATTTAAATTGTAAATGTGTAGTTTCTTAGAAGCTGGTTAAGCAAACGCAGAAAACTATCTCATCTTTCCTCAACATGCTGCTAAATGACAAAATAGCCAGCAATGTGTCTATTCTGAGATTATTATTATATCTTCCATTAATGGCAGTTAAGTCAAAGTATAAAATCCAAACGGCTACAACACAACGGGAATCAGCAGTCGTCTTCGAGTGAGATCGAAAAATGAATCACTTCAGTATGCGCTTCATACAAAATGGATGTGTCCACAGCAATGTTATCTCAAGAGATTAGTCGACCTAGTTGGTCGTCGTATATTAAAGGATTCTACGAAATCCAGCTTTATTTATACAAGTTGCTCGACCTGGTTTCCGCAAATTGGTCGTGTTGTCAAGCAGACTCTGTGAAAGCACCTTGTCCAAAATCCCCTATCATAGGAGTCAGGATACATCCTAGTACTATAACATGTTTTTGGTATATTCCTAGACGTTTCGTCGGCATCGTAAACGATATCGTCAGATGAGTCCATCTATATTAAGTGTATTGAACCTATCTCGCTTAAGATGATAAGGAGTATGAAATTTGAATGTCCTCACAATAAGATGAGTAGACCTTATGTCTCCATTGAATTTCACAGACTTTCTTTCCCAAAAGGTATTCTCATCCAGAGTGACCTGTTTTGTCCTCGCCTAGATGTCGAAAAAATAATTATAAATTGAAAATAAATAATGCAGCATATTGCTATAGTAAATAACACTTTGACTTGTCGAAAATCCCACCATGAAATTGGGAAATGGGAAACTCCTAGGCTTCCTGGAAATTCATTTCTGCCCTAGGATCCCAGAGCATTCGTGGAGGTTGTGTGTATTGGTTAGCGTATAAAGTGCTGATTAGATCTAGGCAAGATCAAAATTGCATTCATCCTAGATGAGAATCACTTTTGAGAAGCAAGACAATGTAAAGTCCACTGAAAACGTAAGGGCTATTCATAGCATTGAGGGAAATTCAATTACCAGTCCTTCATCAACTTCAGCGAAATAGAGCTAATATCGCACTCATATCAGATCTACTGGTAATCTCGAAAACCTACTTATAAACTAAAAATTGTCTAGAATTTCTTTGGCCTTGTCTTCACAAATTGGTCATATTAATAGAAAGACCTAGAGGAACGCACCTAGACCGGAGTCATTAGTATGCATGATCATTTGCAGGGTCTGATCGTGGACGTGGAAAATGGAAATTATCATACATACATGGACTCCGGACTGGGTGCGTTCCTATAAATCTTCCTATCAATATGACCAAGTTGCGAAAACAAGGTCATACAACTTCAATACAATGAAAGGAGACTGCGACCACACAAAAGGCCACACTATCTTGGTCTTCATTCCTTCGATTAAAAATTGTTTAACTGGCTGTCAGCCAGCCCTCGATTGTGATCCCTAATTACGTCATATTCGATAACTTATAAAACGGTGAAGATATGAAGACCAAGATGGTGTGACCCCTGGTATGGTCGAAGTCTCCTTTAAATTTATAGAAATGGGTTGATCGCGTTGTCGCAACTTGGTCTTGTTGTCAGGGCGACTCATTAGAAAGCACCTAGTCCGAAGTCGTCTGACATAGTAGTTGTCATAAGTCCCAGCATCAGACAATGGACTTGGCACATTCTCAAACGTTTCTCCGGCATCGTAGTCGACATCATAAGTGAGTTTTGCCATTTTCCGCATCAAGATACGAACTCGTCAGAGACAAATGAACTCAATCCATCTAGGGCCTTGAGAAATAGCGCCTGGAGTGAAATGCACACAGGCAATAAAACCGAGTGAAATCGGTCAACCAGAAAGATAAGGAACGGATCTACGAGACCATGAGGTGATCCGGATTGTAGGCCTGAGTCGGACTAGGCGATCGGAAAAGATGGGTCGGGGTGAATAGCAAGTGTGATGAGGCCACACTAGATTTGCCATAAAGGGGCACACATTTTGACGAGTGGAATGTAAACAAGTGAGAAGTTGTGAGGGCGAGAGTTTGATAAGAGTGTAAATAGTAGATGGATTAGCCAGGACAGAAAGGAGTGATAGTTGACTCGATTTCGACAGAACGTTTGTCAAGGGATTGACTTCATTTGTCTATTTGACGAGTTCGTAGCTTGGTGAGGAGAATGGCAAAGGTCACTGATGATGCTGGCGAAAAGTTTGAGAATGTACCAAGTTCACTGTCTGATACTGGGAATTATGACAACTACTATGGCAGACGACTTCGTACATGCTGTGTTCTACTAAGTAGCCATGACAACAAGACCAAGTTGCGACAACTAGGTCAACCCACTTCTATAAAACGGTAACTCTCATACCTAGGCTTTCTATTTCTTTAACTTTCCCGACCCCATGACCCAGTTATTCTCTTTCTAATTCTCATCCAATTCTCTCATTCTCTGGAGTCCTTTGTCTGGATTCATTTAGAACCACTTCACTTTACCCATTCTGAATCATGTAAAGCACATGCCTCTTGCGCCTCATGTTAACAATCCTACTCAAGCCTACGGTTCCAATCAGTTGTGCATATGTGCGTTGGTTACTAATTACTCTTTTAAAGCATGCCATCAGCAACCTCTCATCACAGGCGCACCACCCATACCCATATTCGCGCACACAAGCACACGCAAACACTGAAACCATGTGCTGGAGATCAAATGATATCGTGCCTCATCTCGGCTGTCACATTTGAGTCCTTAACTTAGAATCTATGATGGTGCACTATCCTGATATTTGTGGTCCATAAATTCTATATCCTCCAGGTATCTATGTCACTTCGATCAAATGACGAAAATAAAGTCAAAATAACATTATACAGCTAGGGAAGAACGCGACCAAACCCAAAGCCACACCTTCTTGGTCCCCCTATCTACAACTAGAAAAACCATAGATTGTGAAGTTCGTATCTCTCTGCTAGACCATACTCCATATAAAAATTAACCATATGAATTGTGAAGAAAAATAGTAAAGCTCACCTCAGCAAGTAAAACAGAGGCAAGAGCATAGTTCACCCCGATCCAGAACTCCTCTGATTGTATAGAAGAGATATCGGCCCGTCCGCCAGGCATCATACCATTTATGGCACCCATCCGGCCATTCGAGATGCCTAACCAGTTATTATCGCAAATTGTGTTCAAAGCACGAAGAATGTTGTCACGTGGGAAAACCTAAATAGATGGGTGGCAAAATAAGACAGAGATATATGCGAGTATAATTAATCAGTGCGCTAATAAAATAAAGGTAGTGAGATGGATAAACACTCAAACAACGAAACTTATAAAAAAGCCCTAGCTGTATGAAGAGAAGGTAAAAATTACAAATTCAGTAATGGCTTACCAAATTTCCATATGAAAGTTATATAATAATAATCGAAACAGATTATACTTAACTTAAAAATATATATATATATATATTTGCTATTATCCCATTATTTAGTTGGCTAGCTCAGACTTACTGTTAATGCTTTCAAATGAATGAAGTCAATTGATGAAAAGGAAGTGGATGCAACCTCAGCTGTTTCCCTACATAAATAAGCCAG